GATTGTGACCCAATTCTCAAAACATGAACTGTAGCAAAGAGAGTTGAAAGGGGATAAGTTTTTAAAACTTGTGAAGGAGTCTTTAAACTCAGCCATAATTCAGGGTTAACTTATGAGAAATTTCCATTTAAGTGGCTCAAGTTTGGAGCCAATTATGCATTGTATGGTCTTCTCCTTCCCCTCTTTGCTCATATACAAATATATTCATGCATATTCTTTCTCTCCCTCTCTTTCTCTTTCTCTCTTTATATATACATATATATATATATATATATACACACACACACACACACACACACACACACACACACACACACACACACACACATATGCCTTTAGAAATAAGAATGCCATAATTTAAGTTAAAAGAAAATTCAATGGACATAGACAAAAGTAATGGACTGGAAGACATAAATGAAGAAATCACCTAGGATATAGCACAGACAGCATAGAGATGGAAAATTGAGAGAGAAAGAAAACAGAATGAGAAGCTCTAATATGCATCTAATTAGACTTCCAGAAAAAGAGAATAGAGATATTTTTAAATTAATTGATGAAAGGCACATACCTTTGGATTCCAAATCCCTAGTGGATCCTAAGAAAAGTTATTTACTCTTGAACTATCATAGTGAAACAGTACAACCCCAGAGAAAAAAATAAAATTCTGAAAAAGGGCTCAAAGAGATTACCTATTCAGCAATAGTAGTTAGACTGATAGTTGACTTCTCATTACAATGAAAATGAGAAAAATAAATGAATTTGTATTGCCAATGTGCTAGGAAAGAACAATTGTCAATTTCAAATTCTATACTCTGTGTTATGGTTTGGATCTTAAATGTTTCCCTAATGGCTCATGTACTGAAGGATTGATCACCAGCTGATGGTGCTATTGAGAGGTGGTGGAGCCTTTTGGAGGCTGGGTTTAGTGAAAGGAAGTTAAGTCACTGGGAACATGCCCTGAAGGGGATACTGGGACCCCAACATTTTTCTCTCTCTTTACTTCCCCACCACCATGAGGTGAGCAACTTTTTTCTATCACATACTCTTCATCATGATGCTCTGCCTCACCAAAGGACCAAAACCAACTGATACAAGCAAAAATGGACTGAAACTTTTGAAACTACAAGCCAAAATAAATTCTTCCTCTTTATGTGTTAATTCTCTAAGGTGTTTTGTCACTGTGATGGAAAGCTGACTAATATACCCTATAAAACTATCTATTAAGAATGAAGACTAAGGAGTCAGATATGGTGGTGCACACCCATAATCCCAGCAGTTTGGGAGGCAGAGGCAGGAGGATCACAAATTCAAAGCCAGCCTCAGCAATTTAGCAAGGTTGTAAGCTACCTAGCAAGACCCTATTTCAAAATTTAAAAAATAAAAATAAAAAGGACTGAGGATGTGGCTCAGTGGTTAAATGTCCTTGGGTTCAATCCCTGGTATAATAATAATAATAATGACAGGATGTAGCTCAGTGGTAGAGCACTTGCTTATCATGCATGAGGTCCTGGGTTCAATTCTCATTTTACTGCAATTTTTTTCAAATGATAGAAAAATAAAGACATTTTCAATCAAATCAAAACAATACAAAAGCGGAGATGGTTTCCATCAAGAGTTCTTTGCTAAAGGAAATTCTATAGAATGTATTAAAGGCACAAAGTGATCCCAGTTGGAAAGCCTGAGATGAAAAAAGAAAGGATGGGTAAAATTAAAAGGTTAATGTGCATGCAGAGCTTTAAATATTTGGGAGGTGAAATCTTCACCATATTGCCAAATTATAGAGTTAAAAAAGAACTAAAATACTAGGGATAGGATCATGCTAGGAGGCGGTAAATGGACATAAAATTTTCTGAGGTCCCTAGAGGATTATACAGAATATGGATTAATTTTCTTTGTTAACCATACATCTTAAATTTTCTAGAGTAATTGCTAAAAGTACAAAAACAGAACTCCTAACTTCCAAAGTGGGAAGGGGAAAAAGGTAAAAAAGAAAAAAAGAGAATAGAAAAAGAAGATACTGGAGAAATTACAAAATAAGATGGTAGAAATAAATCCAAGTGTATTAGTAATAATAGCAAAGGTAAATCTACTAAATTATCCAGTTAAAAGACTGTTCAGAATGGATAAAATAGGAAGTCCATCTATATTTAACTACAAAGGATATATTTAAAATAGAACAATACTGTGACCAGCAGTATTAATACAAGTGGAGATAAATGTAGTGGGCAAATAGTAACTAAAAAAAAAAAAAAGAGCTGCAGAGTTATGTTAGCAGCAAACCAAACATATCAGGCAAAACATTACTAAAAAAATGCCACTACATAATTATAAAACATTTAATTTATTTTGAAGTTATAAAAATTCTCAATATATATGTACTTAATAGTGCAGCTTAAAATATTCATATTAGAAAAGAAAGAAGTGTGAAAATCAAGATGGTATGCATATAAGTAATAAAACCAGGAGAAGACCAATGGAATAAGAAAAATGATAAGGATAACAATAGTCACAGATGAAAAGGAAAGCAAATATACAATAGAGAGTATCAACAGACATAAAATTTCATGTGTTAAAAATATTAATGAATTCTTGTTAAGATTGAGTAAAGGAAATATAAAACAGCAATATTAGGATTAAGAAAAGTCTCACACCTATAAACTTTTCAGTGATTATAAGGATACCAAAGAGGGTACTACAAAACAAAATGAATATTTGCCTAGAATAATATAACTTCCCCAAAATGATTCAATAAAATTAAAACTTTGAATAATTCTTTCATAACTAAAAAATTGATCTCACAATGAAAATTTTTTCTTAACCTTTAAATCATCTCTGATGTCTTTTTATCTGAGTAAATTATGATTTCAATCTTATAGATACTCTTCTAGAATACAGGAAGAAAGGGAATAATTCCCAAGTATTGTAATGAGTTTAGCATCAGATTCATACAGAAACCAAACAAGAGCTAGATGACAAAGGAAAATTAGAGGTCATTCTCACTTTTGAATATGAATGCAAAATCATAAACAAAACATTAGTGAACAAAATACAGAAATATATGGAAAAGTAAATGATCAAATTAGGTTTATCCCAGGAATGAAGAATAGTTTTACACTGGGAAATGTAGTAGTATATTTCACAACATATTAAATCAGGGGAATATAGTATATGCTTACTCTACTAAATGCAAATATAACATTCAATATACTTTTATTATGATAAAAAATTTAACAGAAAATTTATCTTTTTCTAGGCTGGAGTAATATATTTTGCAAACATAACATATAAAATTATAGCAATGCCATGACATCAGCAGGGTAGCAGATTAGTAAATCCAAGGTCATCATTATTTCAGAAATATGTAAATAAAAATGTACAGACAAAATTACTTTGTGAGAACTGCCCAAACCATCTAAGTGAGCAAAATATCCACAATAAGCACAATACTAAGAGAGTAATACAGCAGAGGGAAGAAAAGTGTGTTACTTTTATCAAACACGCCCTTCCCTCCTCCATAATATAGCATTGTACAATTAGAAAAAAAATCTGTCAACTGTGTTTTGAGGATGAACTCAAAACATACAAAATAAATTATATTGAATAAAAAGACTGCTTTCCCTATAAGATCAGGAATAAGAAAATGATGACTGCTCTCGATATTTCTATTTAACATTGTACTGGAAGTTCAAGTGAGTTCAACAAGACAAGAAATATTAACAAAAGGCATACAGTTTAGAAAGGAAGTAGTGAAGTTTATTTATTCATAAGCAACATGATTATTTAATGTGGAAAAATCTGATGAAATCTGCAAAATATATCCTGGAAATAAATAAGTGATATTAATAATACTGCAGAAGACAAATTCAGTATAAAATGATCTTATATGATACCCAAATCTGATATCAAAAATGTAAAATTCAAAAAGTGCCACTTTCAATAGCACCAAAAATATGGAAATACTTAGGAATAAATCTGACAAAAGATGTTCAAGATTCAAACATCAATAAATGATAACTATAAAATGTATCTTACAGTACTTAAAGAAGACCTAAAGAAACTGAGAGGTATATATTATTCATGGATTGGAAAACTGTTAAGATTCTGATGTTATAATTATCCCTAAATTGATATATAGATTCATTGCAATTTCAATTAAAAACTCAGCAGGCTTTTTCAGAAATGGATAAAATGATATAAATCCCACTTGGCATCAGGATAGCCAAAGTAATCTTGACAAAAAGACATACGGTTGCTTCCTGATTTCTGAAATTACTATACAAGTAATCAGGCTGGGTGTGTTGGCACGTTTGTAATCCCAGCTCCTCAGGAGGCTGAGGCAAGAGGGTGGTGAGTTCAAAGCCAGCGCCAGCAAAAGCAAGGTGCTAAGCAACCCTGTCTCTAAATAAAATACAAAATTGGGCTAGGGATGTGGCTCAGTGGTTGAGTGCCCCTGAGTGCCTGGTATTCACCGCCCCCCCCCCCAAAAAAAAACAGTAATCAGTAAAGACATGTGGTCCTGGCATAATGATAGATATATAATGATAGATATATAAAAAAAATTAAATGGATTAAAAATTCAAAAATAAACACACACAATAAATGGAAAACTGAGTTTGGGGGCAATTGAGTGGTGAAATGACTGTTTTTTCAATATGTGATGTTAAAACAATTGGTTATTAATATGCAAAGAAAGGAGTTTGGTCCATATCTTACACCAAATAAAAAAATGGCTCATGCACTTAAATGTAAAACCACCAACTATAAACTTTTAGGAGAAAATCCTTGTTCCTTGATATTATAAATTGAATTGTGGCCCCCAATGCAACCTCCAATTTATATATTGAAGTCCAACCTGAGTGGGACTATATTAAGGAGTTACTCAAGGCTAAATGAGGTCATAATGGTGTGGTTCTATTCCAATGACTGTCCTTATAAGAATGAGGCACCAGATATGTCTCTCTTACATATCTTAATAATAGATGGTTTCTTTTTTTTCACAGAGTAAAGTCCTTAAGAAGACACAGTGAAAAAAAAAGAAGCATCTATTTTCAAGCCAGTAAGGGAGATCTCACCAGGAATCAACCATGCTCATACCTTGATCTTGGACTTTTAGCCTCCAGGTTGAGAAAATAAATATTTAATTTTCCCAGTTTGTGGTATAGTGTTATGGTAGTCTAAGCTGACATTGAGTAGGCAATTCTTAGATATGCCACCAAAGTTTGACCCATAAAAACATGCACCATATTATCCAGCTACCCCCCTTCTTTGTATGTATCCAAAGGAAATGAAATAAACATACCAAAGATATACATATATGTCCATGTCTATTTGTGGCGCTATAAACAGAAGACAGGATATGGAATCATCCCAGATGCCCATCAACATATGAAGAAAATGTGATATCATACATATATTATACACACACAGAAACACACAGAGATAAACACAATGTAATAATATTCAGGCATGAAAAGATGAAATCTTTTCATTTGCAGCAAAATGGAGAGAAAACATAGTGCATGATATTAAATGACATAAACAAGACGAATACAAGTACAGTATGTTGTCTCTCATGTATGAGTAATGATAACTAGAGTTGGGCAGGATACGTTGTTGGGGATGATGGATAAAGCAAGGTTGGATTTGATTAGTGTATGTTGTATGCTTATGTAGAAATATCACTGAATGTGCCATTAACATGTTAATCAAAAGAAAAATAAAAAAAGCTAAATCAAATAAATTAAAAACATAATTTGGACTTCATCAAAATTAAAACCTGTTTTCAAAAGAGTGTTGGAAACAACAATAAATGCTGGTGAATATGTGGGGGAAAAGGAACTCCTATACACTGTCGATAAAAATGTAAATTAACACAGCCACTATGGAAATCATTATGGATGTTCCTCAAAAAATTAAACATTGAAATACCATATGTTTCAACCATACCATTCCTTGGTATTTATCCAAAAGAAGTTAAGCCAGTATACTTTAGAGATACATGCATACCCATGTTTACCGCAGCACAATTCACAATAGCCAATATATGTATTCAGCCTACGTGTCTATCAACAGATGAATGGATAAATAAAATTAAAGCAATATAGATTGCAAATAAGCACAAGAAAATATATTTAACATTATTAGTAATTAGTGAAATGCAAATTAAAACCACATGTGATACCATTATTAGTGGAGATATGGAAGAAATGATGGGTGGAATGTAAAACAATGCAACTACTTTGAAAAACAATTTGGTATTTTCTTAAAAAGTTAAACATGTATTTACAATATGACCTTCTCTTTCCACTCATAGATATATACTGAAGAGAAAGAAAATGAAACACCAGTATAAGCCTTTACATGAATGTTCATTTATCATAAGCCCAATTTGGAAATAGCATGAATTTCTATTAACAGATGAATGAATAAGCAATGGAATACTACTCAACAATATAGAGGAATGAATCACCAGCACAATCAAAAAAGGATGAATATTAAAAATAATTTTGCTGAATGAAAAATATAAACAATGTGGACTGTATAATTGAATTATATGAACTTCTTGAGATTTAAACTTATCTATACTAACAAAAAGCACCTAGTGGTTGCCCCAGGATGGGTGGGAGAAATTATGAAGGACACAAAGAAACATTTGGGAGTGATGAATATGTTTATTATCTTGATTAAGATGATGGTTTTGTGGCTGTACACATGTGTCAAAAGTTATGCAATGTCACATTTTACACATGTGCAATTTATTGAATATATTATATCTTAATAAAGCCATTAAAATGGTATGTGTTAAACAAAAAATGAAGTAATATGTAATAAAAACATAAAACAAAATGTGAAGATAATATTTAAAGCATTTCATATTGGGGGAGGAGTTTCAAGATATAATTTACATTTAAATTTGTTATATAATTACAAGAGTAAATATTAAAGGTGAAAAGCAGCATATTTAACTCTCAAATCAAAATAAAGAAAAATAGAATTTAAGAAATCCATCTTAAGAAAAATAGGAAAGAAGGAAAAAACAGAAAAATATTGATATCCAAAAATCTCAAAATATAAGGAAAAAATTAGTTTGAATATATACGCAATGAAGTTACTATAACTTAATGGGTTAAATGACAGTTACTATAACTAAATGGCTTATTGGAATAAAAGTGACGAAAACAAAAGCTAGGTCCTTGCAGTTTACAAGAAATGTTTAAGACATAAATATGCCAAAAAAATGAAAGCAAAGAATGGAAAATAATATACTAGGCAAATAATAACAAAAACAAAGTTGATGTGGCAATGTTAATACCAGACACCATTGATTAGGGGAAAACTCATTGATAAGTATTTTTAATGTTTTAAATATAATTCTTTTTATTAGCACATTGTATTTATACATAATACTGGAGTTCATTTTGACATTCATGGAATATAATTTGCTCCATTTCAGTTCCCAATACTTCCCTTTCCCTCTCTTCCTCCCTCCCTCTATTCCCTTTCCTCTAATCTACTGTCTTCCTCCTATTTTTTGGTAGTTTTTTAAAATTAATGCCTTATAGATTTTTTTCTACTTCTATGCAAAATGTCATTGTTATTTTATGGGTATTGCATTGAGTCTGTAGATTACCTCTGGTAGTATTGCCATTTTAACAATATTGATTCTCCAAATCCATGAACATAGGAATTCTTTCCATCTTCTAGTGTCTACTCAAATTTCTTTCTTCAGTGTTCCATAATTTTAAATGTAGAATTCTTACACTTCCTTAATTAGGAATATTCCTAGGTATTTTATTTATTTTTGAAGGTATTTTATTTTATTTTGTCAATGGGATTATTTCCATGATTTGTTTCTCAGTAAATTCATTATTGGTGTATAGAAAAGCTACTTTGCTGAATTTATCAGATCTAAGTCTTTTTGTGGAGTCTTTTGGATTTTCTAAGTATGGAACCATATCTTCTACAAACCAGGGTAATTCGACTTGTCTTTTCAATTTGTATAACTATATTTTTCTCTGGCCAAATTGTTTGTGCTAAAATTTCTAGTAATATATTGAATAAGAGTGGCAAGAGTGGAAACTTATTATTATTCCTGATCTTAGAGAAATGTATTATTCCTGGTCTTAGAGAAAATGCATTCCTTTTTTTTCTTTATATATGCTAGCAGAATGCATTACAATTCATATAGCAAATATAAAGCACAAATTTTCATATCTCTGGTTGTATACAAATTATATTCACAACAATTCATGTCTTCACACATTTACTTTGGGTAATGATGTCCATCACATTCCACCATCATTTCTAACCTCGTGCCCCCTTCCTTCCCCTCCCACCCCTCTGCTATATTGGCTATGATTTTGTCATACATAGCCATTATTATGTTGAGTTATGAACCTTTTGTAATTAATTTGTTCAGGGCTTTCTTCATGAAGCAATGCTGCTTTTCTTTTGTTCTTTTTGGTTATACATAACAATAGAATGTATTTTGAAATATTATACATACATTGAGTATAACTTCCTATTCTTGTAGTTGTACATGATGTGGAGTTAAACTGTTTGTGTATTTATATATGAACATAGGAAAGTTATGTCTGATTTATTCTGTCCATCTTATTCCCATCCCCTCTCTTCCCTTTATTCCCCTTTATCTAATTCAACTTCTATTATCCCTGCCTCCATTGTGTGTTAGAATCCACATATCAGAGAGAACATCTGGCCTTTGGTTTTGGGGGAGTGGCTTATTTCACTTAACAATGCTGGATTTTTATCTAAGTTTCTTGTGCATCTATTTAGATAATCATGAGAATTTTATCCTCAATTCTATATACGTGCTGTTTTACATTTATTGATTTATGTATGTTGAAGCATCCTTGCATCCCTGGAATGAAGCCAGGTTGGTTATATTTTTTTAATCTGTTGTTGAAATTTATTTTCAAGTATTTTTTGAGGGTTGTTGTATGTAGGATACAACATACAACAAGGATATCGGCCTGTAGTTTTCTTTTTTTTCAGTATTTGTTGTAGCTTCTTTGTATAAGTTTGAAGAGCTCTAACTGCCTTTGTTATGTAATAGTTTGAGTGGTATTGGTATCAGTTTTTCTTTAAATGTCTGATAAATCTCAGCAGTGAATCTGTCCACTCCTGGACTTTTCTTTGTTGGAAGACTATTTAATACTTCTTCAATTTGTTACTTGTTATTTACCTATCTATATATTTATATCCTCTTTCTTCAACTTTTTGTTAAATATGTATCTAACTCATATGTATCTAAGTCATATATATCTAAGAATTTGTCCACTTCTGCTAGATTTTTCAATTTATTAGCATATAATTTTTCAAAATATTCTCTAAGAATCTTATGGTTTTTCACTGGCATCTATTTTAATAATCTCTTTTCCACATCTGCTTCTATTTTCTTGGGTCTTCTCTGTCTTTCTTTTAATTAGTTTAGCTAAAAGTTTGTCAATTTTGTTTTTCTTTTCAAAGAATCAACTCTTTATTTCATCAATCCTTTCTATTTTTAAGTGCCTATTTCATTCGTTTCTCTTCTGATGATCTTTTTACTTATTTTCCTCTTCTGATTTTGGTTTTGGTTTGCTCTTATTTTCTAAGACTTTTAGATGAATCATTCAGTTATTTATTTGGGATCGTCTTTCTCTATATATAACATAGGAACTCATAGCTATAAACATCCTACAATAATGCTTTTGCTGTGTACTTGCTGTATCCTATCAGTCCTGGTATGTTTTTTTCCATGTTCTTTTTGACTCTAGAATTTTTTTTTTAAATCCTCCCACAGATTTTTTAAACGACCCACCATTCTTTCAAAGAAGTATTGTTTAGTATCCATATACTAGTATAGTTTTTGTTGTTTCTCTTGCTGTTTATTTATAGTTTCATTTCATTATGATCTGACAATGTGTAAGGAATTATTTCAAAATTTTTATTTGTCAAGACTTGCTTTTGGTCCTAAACTGTAATGTATTTTGGAAAAAAATTCCATCTGCTGATAAAAAGAATTTGTATTCTGCAACTGTTCAGTGAAATATTCTGAAGATGCCTATGGAATCCACTTGATATATTGTATAATTTGGATTTGATATTTCTTTGCTGTTTGTTTGGATGATCTATCTGTCATATGGGCATATTGAAGTCACTCACCATTATTATTTGGAAGTTTATCTCTCTCTCTTAATGTCCTGTAGTTTTTGTTTTATAAAACTGGATTCTCTGATGTTCAGTACACATATATTTATAAACACATTTTCTTTGATGAATTGTTCTTTCTATCCAAAAGCAGAGTAGCTATATTAACATTCATAAAACTCTACTTCTTAAAAGTCAGTCTTTGTCTCTTCTGATTAATTTTGATTTGAAGTCTCCTTTGTAAGACTTGTGTACAACTACTCTGGATTGATTCCTGATTCCATTTCCTTGGAATATCATTTTTCATTCTTTCACTTTCAGTTTGTGTATATCATTGTGAAGTGAGTTTCTTTCAGGCAGCAAATTGTAAGGTCTTATTTTTAATCCAATCAACCATTCTGCATTTTTTTTAGTTAAAAAATTAAGTCCATTTACGCTAATAATTATTATTTAAATGTACATTCTAGTTGGTGTCATTTTTTGTTTGTTTTCTTCTGGAAGTTTTGAATATGTTTGCTTCTTTTTCCTTATCCATGTTAGTGATTTGATATCATATTGACTTATTAAAGTTTGATTCTTTCTGAACTTTATCTACTCTCATGATTGTGTTTATATTGCTTAACATTTTGTGTGTATGGTTTCTTTAAGTATCTCATGTAATGCAGGTTTAGTGGTCATGAATTCCCTTAGTTTATGCTAATCTTGTAAGGTCTTTATTTCTGCTTCATTTCCGAAGGAATACTTTGCTAGATATAGTAATCCAGGTTGGGAGTTATATTCTCTTTAGAGTTGGAAATGCATCATTTCACGACATCTAGGCCTTTATGTTTCTATAGATATAGTTTCTCTTATACCTAGTTATACATTTCATTCCCAAGATTTGGGAAAATTTGAGGTTTTATTTCATGGAATAGATTTTGTACACCTTTATCCTGTAGCTCAGCTCACCTGTCTATTCTGATTATCTGTATGCTTGCTGTTTAATGGTTTCCAATAGATCTTATATACTTCTTATTTTTTTCTTACTACTCTCTGTGATAACTGATCAATATTTTCTTCAATACCTGATATTCTTTCTTCTCTATGATCTAGTCTATTAACAATTGGCTTTCAACAGAGTTTTCTTTTTAACTTGTTGAGCTTTTTATTTACACAATTTCTTTTTATATCTGCTTGATCCTTTTTCAGAATCTCTTATCTTTTTATCAAATTGCTCTTTTATATTCTCCATCATCTCTCCTAATTCATTCCATTGTTTATTTGTATCCTCACTGACATAATTCATCATTTTTTAAAAAATCAATCTTTTGAATTCTTTGTACAGCATGTCATCTACTCTAATATCTTTGGATTGGGTTACTAGAGAGCTATAAACCTTTGGAGAAGTTACATGCCTTTTTTTCATATTTCTTGTGTTTCTATGCTGAGATTTCTGCATTAGTTGAGATGAATATCTCTTCCATTTTTATGTGAGGGTCTAGAGAGCATCTTTCCTAACGTACCCTTGGGATATCAGTTTGTTGTGTAGTGTTGTGATTGATTCCAAGTGGAATTCATAGTGTAGTTTCCTTGTGACTTCTTTTTTTTTTTCAGCTATTGCATCTTCTATTTATTGATTTTTAGAGTTTTACAAATGAAAATGGCTTGCTTTAGGTAAATTGATGAAAAAAGCACAGAAATTTAACTGCTTATAGTTAAAATTATGAAAATTTACATCTCACCTCTGATACTGATTTTAATTAAAATTGTGAAATAACACCTGCTACAGCTTGAGTTCCATTGAAGCTAAGAGCCAATTTGTGGTTCCTTGTGATACCTCTGCTGTCAATTACTGCCCTCCTGTTGCATTTTACTTTGAAGAAAAACACTGTTGTGTGGAGTAAGATTTACTTGTAATTTGAAATGTTCTTGGCACTGTGCTTACCAGTTGATATGCAGCAGCTCTGCTCATCCTCACAACAATGCTATGATGGAGAATATTATAGACATGTAGAGTGTAACTGACCTTAATATACTTGTCCAAGGTCACTGAGCTACTTCCCATTACTAACAGCACAGAGTATATCTTGAATCTTCTATTAAGAGGGCCCTAAATGGGACCACACCTGCCTCAGAATATGGATTCATCCCACCATGAGTACCTCCCATTTAATCTCAGCAAATTTATTTTTCTCTAATTCACCTTAATCTGACCATCTGCCTTGGCATGGAGGAGAAAAAACATAGTGGCAGAGCTGGTGTGGGCAACAATTTATCTTCCAAGTTTTGGCATTCAGCTAGCCTTCATTGTCATATCTTGCAAAGCCAGGCAAGATCAAGATCTCTTTAGTAAAATGACATCTATGGAATGGCCTT